TTAACGTTCTAAAACGTGTTTATTTCCCTCACGCTCCTGAGAAAACCCATACAAATGACGAGGTTGCAATAATCTTCTCAAGTATATACGTTAACTTCTTCCATCTCATGCACAGAGGTGCCCCAACTAGCTCCATTTGTGTTTGTGCAAATTCATTTAATGCACATCCCAAACTGCTTTTCAATTCGTGCGTGTTTTGTAAGAGCATGCTGATGTCTATTACTTTGCTTTCATTTCAAATTAATTCGCAACAAAATTTTCAGATCACCATTTTCATATATTTCTCAACTGAATTTCTGAACACTTAAAACAGTATCGATGTATAACAAACATTAAATAGGCAAACCGATGTTACAATACACTCAAGAGCGCGGAAAACTTTACGTGCAGACCCATCACACTTTAATGGAAGTTGTGCAAACTTTTTGCAGAGTCAAAGGGTATTTGATAGAAGCATAGCAATGGTCATCGGGCCCACTCCTCCAGGAACTGGAGCTATAGCTGAAGCAATCTTGCATGCCTCTTCATAATATACATCACCCAGCAGCCGATATCCTCGTTGACTGGTTGGATCCTGTAGAATGAAACCAAGCAATTAGTCATGATTCATGAATAGAGAAATGGGCAATCTGAGTCCCTTGGCTTTAGTTTAGTGAAAAGACATTGCATGAAAGGGGTGATGGATTTGAAATTCGACACAAAAACAAACCATGCTAATCGATTCATGTCTTCATACGAAGAACGGACAATGTGATAAACACTACTCACACCATGCAAATTAACACTCAAAAGTAAAAAATAATGGAATCGAGAATCTCTCTCTACAATGTTGTTTCTCAAGAGATTTTCAAATTTTGGGATTTTCTCCATATTCTTTATAACATGAATTAGCATATCGAAGTAAGAAAATGATAACAATAACAGAAAACATAATAATATGAAATGCTAACATGTGAGGAAAAGAGCATAAAATGTGTGTTCTTACTAACATATGAGAAGAAGAACATAAAATGTCTGTTCTTTTTTTTTTGGGAAAATGACCTCGACCCCCCTCCCTAAAATTTCCATCCTTATTAACCCCTCAAGTTTTAAATTTTGGGACCGTTAGCCCCCTAATTATGTTTTTCTTTGTTTTTTTTATAAATTTGATATTTTTATTTTACAAAATACCAAACCCTTCCATTAGTCAACTTCCTTTCTTTTCTCGTCTAAGACCAATCTTACTTCCAAAGACCCACTCTATAAATTTAGACACAAAGAAAATGATTTTTTTTAATATTGTGACCTATTTTACAATTGCATCAATGTCTTTTGAACTTTGAAAATGATTAGTCAATATCTTTATTACTATTGTTAATGGATTATTATTATTTATTTATTCACTTAATTAAAGAAATTTCTCAAAATACCTATAAGAGATGAATTATTTTACAATTAATATATTATTGTTGTTATTATTGTTATTATTATAATTATTGTTAATTATAATAATAATAATAATAATAATAATAATAATAATAATAATAATAATAATAATAATAATAATAATAATAATAATAATAATAATAATAATAATAATAATAATAATAATAATAATAATAATAATAATAATAATAATAATAATAATAATAATAATAATAATAATAATAGTAATAATAATAATTATTACTATTATCATCATCATCATCATCACCATCAATAACATTTTTATATCAAGTCACCAAAAAAAAAACGGATGACCAATGTATAGGTTTAGCACTTTGTGATCAAATTTGTTAAACAAACAAAAAAAAACATAAATAGGGGGCTAATGGTCCCAAAGTTTTCAACTTGAAAGGGAACAAGGGATTTTGGTGATTCCAAAGGGCTAATAGGACGGAAATTTCGGGGAGGGGACAGAAGTCATTTTCCCTCACCAGCATCACAGAAACCTCAAGCTTTTAACTCTTAATAACTTTGATATAACATTCTCTAGAATATTTTGATATTTAAGTTTCATACTTTTATTTTCCTGATACTTCTAATGACCTACATTTTTCATAAATGTAAACATTTTATTTTTATCAAAAGGGCGTGGTTATGTTTAAGCATAAATGTTATTTAAATGATGCAACTTCTAAGAAAAAATCAGAAAAAATATTGGTCTTAGGGAGAACAAATTTTTGGAAAACCTCGCAAGATTTTAAGAGAAAAAAGTGGTAACATTTATCACTTTGGGATTAGAGCGTGGCATCTCTTTCGGTATGTGTATATTAAACAGAAAATAAAAGTTCTGCAAATATAGCTAAAATACGCACATCCACAGCTTTAATCCCAACATCAATCACTGCAGCACCAGGCTTTATCCAGTTGCCCCTCACTAAGTTTGCAACTCCAACAGTCGCGATGACAATATCTGCCTCCCTTGTGATTTCTGCTGGATTCTTGGTCCTGGAGTGCACAATGCTCACAGTTGCACTATGCCTCTGCAAACGCAGCATCAGATAATATAAGTCCCACTAGTAAACAGAAGAAAATAAAAAGTTACAAATTCTTTGTTATGATTTATGAAGGTATAAGTGGGGGTCACTAGAACCCAACTCAATCACCAAAATGAAAATCTTGGGTTTGTTGGTGTCTTTATCATTACCATATTTTTTAATGATCCGTATAGATGTTCTGAGTGTCTCAGTGGATGAATGAAATTCAGTTACCAATTAAGAAAAAAGATCCAACAGATAAGGGAAAGGGAAGATCTTATATATGTTGACTACATTAAATGCCATTAGCATAAATTAACAAATATTAATGAGTTAAAGAACTTCAAGGAAGTCGCAAATTAAATAGAACATTTCTTTATAGAGAGAGAGTCTTATTTTTTAAAGTGGTCTTTTTTTCTTTTGGTGGGTGGGGGGGGGGGGGGGAAATGCTATTGGGAATCTACAGTGAAAAAGTTTTTGTTTTTTCTTGTTTTTTGATTCTGAATCTACAGTGAAAAAGTTTTAGTTTTCTACCTGTAACAGAAGGGCAGCAGGGGTTCCAACAATATTGCTTCAGCCAACAAGTACTGCTCGTTTACCTTCAATCTTAATGCCGGACCGAGTCAGCAACTCTATGCAACCTTTGGGGGTGCATGGAACAAATAATGGTGCCCTGCCTTGCATGGCAAGCCGCCCCATGTTCAACTCATTAAAGCCATCTACATCTTTTTCAATGCTAACGGCATTCACAACTTTCTCTTCGTTCATATGCTGTCACCAAACCATAGAAGTAGCAATACTGGTAATTAAAAGAAGCCCAATCTAAAGCTGCACAAGATATTCACAAATTAAATGAATAGGAATTTCAAATTGAAAATACACCATAAACAATCACAAAGAGGCCAATAATGATGTACTGTCGTATTTTCAGATAGAAAGATATTTCCCGGCTAGCTGTATGTGCTATCATGAAGGAACAAATAGTATGCCATCAAATGGACACATCTACTCAAAACCCATGGGTCGGAAGAGTCAAAGAACAGTTTGTACCAGGAAAGAAACTGAGAACTCATAAGAAAAGAGAAGACATGGAAAGCAGACTACCACAAATCCAATCACAAAATGAGAATTAGATTACTGTTGTTAAGTCGCATAAGATGGAGGTGCATTTGCAACTACTAAGGGGGCATTGATTATGCCAACATTGATCCATATGGGACCGGCAAGTCTCCACGCTTCAAGAAATCGCCACTTTTCCCATGGCAAATGGTAGAAGCTGAAACGTCTGAATATTTCAAGTAAAATGACTAGCCGTTTGGAGTCCAAGATTCTTGGAAAATCTTGACAAAGTTATAACAGTATAATACTCAATGAATTTAAGCATGCGTGTGCGTGCAAGCATGAGCATAATTTCATCTTAGTATCATCAGATCATATGTATTAAATTTAGATAAATTCCTTAGGGCGTGTTTGTCATCTGGAACTTCAGTTGTCAGACAACTGAAGTTCCAACTTACTGTCCAAGTTCCAAATTTGGTTAGGCCGATGTTTGAGGCATGAGGAGACCATCTCACACAAAACATGAAGTGCAGTCCTCCACCCTACCCGAGGGAGAGCAGCGCTTCATCTTTTTATTTCCGTTCGCTCTCCCCCAGCTCAAAACCCTAACGCTTAGCGTTCTCTCCAAGAGCGAGCTCTCCTCCTACAATGCCATCCTCTTCTCTCTCCTCACTCTACAATGCTCCTCTGCTTTCTCAATGCTCCCAAATTCAAAAGGCCATGAGCCTCTCTCGAACCATGAGAGAGAGGTTTGAACCCAAAACATACATTTCCAATAAATTGGCTGTTGGACTCTGTTCAGTTGGTAGAGTTGAGGAAGCTGTTGAATTGCTCAATGAAATTAATCAAAATTCATGTGAAAAACCAGAAATTTTATACATATACAGGTGCCATAGATGGTCTTTATAAAGTGGGGCTATCAGCTGAAGCAAGGCAATTGCTTGAGGAAGCCATTAATTTAGGTATGAAGCGAACCCCAATTTGTTATAATACTCTGCTCAATGGTTGCAGTAAAGAAGGAAGGGCTTTCGAGGGGTCTAGCCTTTACAGGAGATGATTGATAGGAAAATTTATGCTGATTTCATTAGCCATGCAAATTTACTTCATGGTTTGTTGAAATGGAATGCAATCAAAATGGGTCTACAAATTTACGATCAAATGTCGAGAATTGAGTTCGAACCATGTGAAAGAACCTTTGACTAAGCTTGCTCAAGGTCTTTGTAGGCTTTCTTTGTGTAAAGAAATCTCTGAAGTAGACGTAGAGAGGTTTTAGGAGAACTGGGGAATTGGGGTATGTACCATCTCCTCATTGTCTAATGACTCATTCTCTCTACAAGAGGAGAGATTGATGGAGAAAGCTTTGTCAATTCCAAGAGCAATTATCGAAAACGGGCATCCTCCAAAGAGGATGACTTATAACACTGTGATTAAGGTCCTTTGTACCAAGGGGAGGATAGATGATGGTGCAAATGAGTGTGATGAAACTCATGTTAGACAAACAAGTCCTAGTAAAGCTCATACAACATCTTGGTTAAAGACTTTAATCGATTGGATCGGGTCTTTGATGCAGCTAATCTTTGTGCAATTGTATTGAAGAGGGGCGTGTTCCTTATCAGCAACCAGCTGAAATTTTGGTGAAAGAAACTGAGTTTTGTGAAGCTAGCACCATTTGATTACTAGATTTTTGACACTTACGAGTTTATGCAATGCATCTGATGGATTACTAAGAATACAGGTCGATTCCAAGAAACTATTCAGTGACATAGCTTTCTTTGGGTGTAGGAGATATTTGGTTTGGTGAAGAGAGAGTGAGAGTGAGAGTGTGTGTGTGTTTAAGCTGGAATCAAACCCACAGACTTCAGGTTCAGATATGGAGCTGGAACCCCATAATGGAGCCTTTGATGTCAGAAACAGAGGATTCACATTCTTGTTAGTTTCCAAATTTAGTTATACTGGAGTAAATGGGCCCTTTGATTGCTGAGACCCATGGGGCAAAAAAAGCAGAAAAAATTCAGGGGTCAGAATGCTCAATTTTCTTGGAAATTGATCCAAATTCCATCCAAGTATTACATTGAACTCTGCTAAATTCTAGCAAAACCAGTAGCTGGTCGGAGACTTGGCCATGATTTGACAACAAAATTTTGAATCAAGCACACCGGCCTGATTTAGAGAAAGAATTCTTCTGATTTTTTTTCTAATCGGTTCCTCCAAAATTTGGTGATCTGTTTGAACTTTGAAGTACCACCCAAAGTTTGCAGCATTTGAAGTTTAGATGAATTTTAAGAAATGGCTAACTCATGAGAGGATGTAATACCATTACATTGAATTGTTTGCTCCCTCCCTCGCTCGCTCCCTCTCCCTCCCCATCCATGCACAAATAAATTCCACCTAAAACCTTTGTTAGGAATAACTTATGTTTCAGCAAAATTAGCTGGTTGGCAATCCTCAATTAGCCATCTTTCCCTTCACTTATCCCGGTTTACAATAAAAAGCCAGAGACAAATAGATGACTCAAAGGAATTCCTAAGCAAAGTAATCATAAATAGTGGCAGTTTCATTAATTTGGATGTGAGGTTTCCAAGCACAACTTGAGGAGACTCTCGGTTGTTAAGAGACTTGAATTAGCAAAACAGGATCCTTTCAGGCAAGTGGTAATAAGTAGTAATAACACTTTGGAGGGGAACTGAGTAGACTGCGGTCTATAGTGATTGGAGGCAAATAGAGTAGGAGCATTAATGGCGGAGTTTGGGGGGCTGGAACTGGATTGTGATACATTTCAAGGATATTGAGGTCCATTGTGTTTATAGGGGCATCTGGGAGATGGTAGTACCACTCAGTTCTGTTTTGATGTCTGATGTGGCAGGTGTGCAAGCATATTAGAACCAAACAAGGTGCATTGGTCAAGTATTTCAAGGTTAGGGAGTACAGAAGCTGGAAACCTCTTCTTTCACTTCTCAAGAAAAACTCCTAATCATAACCGTCTTCTTCCCTCCTTTTCAGATCTCAATTTCTATTATGTGTCATCTCATTCTTATCGTATATAGCTCCTAGAAAACACAAACAACTGCCCTTATTATGTGATCCTTGTATTGGTATCTTACTAACTTAATGATTGCATTGATAAAATGTTCCAACCACAAGTTCAAGGCTAACAGGGACAGGTTTCCAAGATTCGTATCCACTGTCCAATAATTCAGGCCAATAATCAGACAAGGATATGGGTAAAGATGTCCTATTGAACAATTCTAGGACATACAATGTGTGAAAAACTCTTATATGACAAGTTAATCCACCTAAAAGAACTAAAAATTTTGTAATGTCCAAAAAAACAGTATTGCGCATTCCGTTCACATATGCACATGTATGCATATTTAAAATTTTAAAAAATTATTTATCCAATTGATTGAGAGTAATTGTTGTGCATAAGACCATACCAAAAAGCTCAACAGGTCTAGATTACTAAATAAAGTGAAATGAAAATAACAATCTTCATTTCTATACGTGTGTATTCTGGGGAGAAATAAACTTTTTTTCTTTTAGCATTCTAGCTAGAATAATACATCAAATGAGAACAAATGAGAATATCGATGCTTAAATTGTAACCGTGGCAGTTACGTCGTATGAAAGAACCAAAAAATTCATCATCACATACGGAAGAACTCAAAAAGTCAACATAGTTAAGAACTTTGAAGTGAATGGTTAGATATTCAAATTAAATAATCAGACATCAACATTTAGATCCACAGTGGATTTTTTTAAATTTACTTTTTACATTTCTAAAATTTTAAGTTTTCCATTTTATTGGTAATTACTCATTTCAAATATACCAAGTTGCAATTCATATGTAAGACATAAAAACTTAAATGACACTTGTGTATCATAGATAAAAAACAATGGTCTAGATCATGTTCTGCAAATGGTTACAACCAGTGTTTTCAAACTCAGGGAGTCCAACTCGGACTCACCCAAGTTACAGGGCTCAGCAGGGAGGCGTCTCAAGCCCGAAACTCCCCAACTGAGGGGTATATATAAGTGATATATAAATCAGTAAAATGGGTTTATCATTGATATAATCAATTTTTTTTTTTTGATAAAGTTAATTGTATTGCTATAAATATTTTACATGGAGTGTTTGAACCGAGAGTCCCTCCATGGTAGGACTCTTCGTAAAAAATGGGTCAACCGACCCTATACAAAATGATCGTATCGATCTGTCCAAAGTTATACAAAATACACAATGAGATTACAAAAAAAGGGCCTATAGTATTACTATAATCATTGAATCAGTTCTACTTGACTTATAATTATTCTATATATACTTTTTTATGGTTTTATGATTTTTAATGGTTTTTTATTTTTCTCATTTTTCTGAGAAAATGATCTTTAACCACTTTTTTTATTTTTTGACCTTTTGAAAAAAAATATTCTCGTCTTTTATTGTACTTTTTCTGTTGTTCTGTTTACCTTTCTTTACCAATTTAAGGAATTTTTCCTTTTTTGGGTTTTTTGGCTATTTGGTCCACTCGCACAGACTCAGGCGAGCAACTAGAACTCACCTGAGTACCTCAGCCAGGCTAGGGACCAAGATCTGAGCCCAAGCTGAGTTTAAAAGCAAAGGTTACAAAAGGGAATTTGTAGTGATGAACTCATAACTAGATAACCTAATGTGGAGACATACCTTTGGAAGGGGAAGTTGAATAAGAATGCCATGAACTGTAGGATCAACATTGAAACGTGATACAGCAGGGAGAACTTCTGCTTCTGAAGAATCTTCAGGTAAATGAACCTCTTGAGATGTAATGCCCGCAGCTTCACAAGCTTTCTTCTTATTTCGAACATAAGTTTGACAATCGGGTCTTGAACCAACTAAAATGACAGCCAACCCTGGAACTATGCCAAGTGCATCTTTCATCCTAGATACTTCAACTGCAAGTTCATTTCTAATTTGCTTTGCAATTGACTTTCCATCAATAACTATCGCAGCGGGTTCACTTGGCACTATAAAATACATAGAAATTAATTATGTACAATGATCCCAAATTGAGTCTAATCACAAAATATGCATCCAAACCCACACACACACAAAATGTGAGCATAAGCTTGTATGCGGAGAGAGAGAAGGAAAGAAGCAAAACATGTCATCGATAATAATTTGGCATAACATACAACGTGAAACAATAATTCCATGGTTGATCGTGTTCAACACATTCATTAAGACAATATGTTATGTACCCTAAATATACAACAAAAACATAAATGTGTTTAACACATAAACAAAATTCTGTGGCAAATGTCTAGGGAAAATATTACTCAACCTGCATGGTTAATCATGTTAAATACATTCATTAAGCCAATATGTCCTATGCCTTATAAATTAGAGCAAAACAACAAATGTATTCACCACATTAACAAAATTCTGTGAGCATATCTTTTTGCGGCAAATTAATTCAGGCACATTTTGCTCAAAACCTGCAGGAATAAACAAGAATCAAAAGGAAAGCTATAAAGCAAAAGCAAATAGTACAGAAATTAAACTCACTTAGTACCGGTTCTATTAATTAGAGGTAAATGGGTCGACATCTGCCAATCCAAATGGTATACAAGTCAAAACCTACACAGTGCATTCCTAAAATGAGAAAACAAGTACATGACGAGGTTCAGTGGCTTATTTGACTTAATCTTCTTATTTTACGTCACTACCCACAATTACAACTACAAACTCCTAACTAGAACAATCACCTCAATCATGTATATACAATAGATTGAAACGTTTATACGAACAAACCGAACAAAAATCTAGTACAACATAGAAAACTTTCTGTTAGTGACATTGAGAACACATTAAACAAACTAATCCAATCAAATGATCTATCACAATATATAAAACTTTCCTTCAGAGGTATTGAGAACTCAATAACTGCTTTAATTGCAATTATCATAACAAATCTACAGTTTTAACAATGTCATGCAAAATTAAATTTTCTAGTACATGAAAATTTTTACAGTTTGTCAGAATGCACATGTACAAGCTATCCAGCTCATTGCATACTTGATTATAAATATATACGTTGACACGTAAACAACACGCCCATGGTGTCCATAAGAAACTTAATGCCATTTGCTCCTCTATATACGTTTGGTGGTATTAAAAATGTCATACTTGCAGATTAGCTTCAGACAAGCTCATAAATTCGCAAAATGAAGCAATGAAATTCATTAAAAAAAGAAAGAGAGAGAAATAAAAATGAACAGTATCGTCAGAAAACCCAAATTTGTCACTCATTCCCATTTGGAAACACGCATTTCAGTATTTTGCCTGCCAAGGAACTGTAAGCATTAACCAGTACTATCAATGTATCAATGCAATCACAAGAAATAGAATAACAGAAATCCAAAGTAAATACAAACTCCAAAACAAAAAGCATTCCAGTAAAGTAAGAACTCACAGCTAGCATCTTGGACGGCCATAATGGGGTTGACACATATTTCATGCAATTACAACCCAATAGAAGGTGACAGTGGGGCATGCCTATCTGGAAGAAAGGAATGATAAGGAGCAGTAGGGCTTGAGCAAAAACGTTGCAGGCGAGAAGCTTTAATAGACGAATGCTTGGGTGAATGAAAATACATTGAGTTTGCTGCGGATTTTAAAGCTAGAGACTCCATTGAAAGGGTCTCAGCAATGGAGATGGATTGCAACTCTCCATTGATTTTCTATGGTCCTTTAACCCAAAAATAAAAGCTAAAATACCTCGAGGACCGCAAATGTAGAAATAAGGTCCCCACACATGAAACAATTTTCTATTTTTTAATTATATACGCACTTGAAAAAACAATGTCTTCAGATTGAATAGAGACCGTCCAATATTTAGATGGTGAGATCTAAGAGTTCAAAACTCAAATTTTAATTTTTTTAATAATAATCATCTAATAATCCTCAAATAATTATCTAAATTTCATATCGAAAAAATCGCCCAAGTACATCTTCTAATTGAGGGAGTAGTAGAAAATTATATTGGTGATGGAACATAGTGTACGTGCTCAAATAAAATCATCGGCATATCGAGCACTACCATACAATAATGTCAAATCTCAAATTCTCAAACAAATCGAATGGTTTGCATTTTGACATTCCCAAATTTTTTTTAAAAAAATTCTCTTTCCTAAGTATTTAATGATATGAGCATTCTTGATTTTTTTTTTTTAAGATAATTAGCATTCTTGACTTAGCAATAACCGAACTCGCTCTCTAAATGTAAAGAAATTGCACTTATTCACCACGTGGAGGCAACGACAGTTGAGTTAGAAAATAAGAAACGAATCTACCATCAGAGAGTGACACATTATTCAATATTTTATATATTTGTAAATATTCCAATTCATAATCATGAGCACGTGTCGTATTTTAAAATTAAATCAAACAATATATGTAAAATATTAATAGTTCAAGGGTGTTTTGACAAAATTGTGAATAAAAATTAAACAGAATAGAAGAAGAGAATTAGTAACCAATAGTTAAATTGTTACGAGATCTATTAAGGTAGTCAAATGATCTTATATAACTTTCAAATTTCATTTGAATGAAGTACCTCTACCGATGGAGTGACCCAAATTACCCTTTTTCAATTTTGGAAATGCTAAAGGCAGGAGGCAGAGGACATAGGAATCCTTACTTGTTGAGGGTTCGGAACCTAAAACATGCATTGCATTTGAAAATACCCTATTATTCATTGTAAGCATTCGCCAATATCGGTGCAATCACATGAAATACAATAATAGAAATCCAAAATAAATACAAACCCCAAAACAAAAATAATTCCAGTAAAGTAACAGTTCAAAGAAACTCACAACTAGTGTCATAGAGCGCCAGAATGAGGTTAACACATTTTTCATGCAATTTCAACCCAAGAGAAGGTGAGAGTGGGGCATGTCTCTTTGGCAGAAGGGGACGAGAAGGAGAAAAATTGTAGGCGAGAAGCATTAATAGACGAATGCTTGGGTCAATGAAAATACAGCGACTTTCCTGCGGATTTAAATGTTAGGGACTCAATTGGAAGTGTTTCATTGAAGAAGAGCACTGGAGTTTAGGGTTTCTACTCCAAGCGCTCTACCAAATGACATCATGATGCTACAATGTAGGAAATATTATCAACTGGTTGTAAATTATATATATATATATATATATATATATATATATGGAAAAGTCCTTACCTAATGTTTATAGGACAAAAATAGAATAGTG